CGTTAGAATTTAGAAGATTCAAACTCTAATTACAACAGAAATATAATTTTCAATTTGTTTTCGTAGCGACGTTTCGGTAATTCAGAGGGAATTTCTCTCACTGTACAGTAATTATATCTTACTTTTTTCCACGTTATTTTCTTATAATACAAATATATGATTTTATATGATTTTAAAGTTGAATGTAAACAATCCTTGCCAGACTGAGATCTATATATTACGTCCTAGCTTTATTGATAATGTCCAGTTTCACATGTATTTTAATATTTTAATGATTTTTACGTCCTAGCTTCACTGATTTTATGTCCAGTTTCATGTGTATTTGGCTAATTGACTGATTTATACATCCTAGCTTCATTGATATTGTGTCTACTTTTCAGTGTAGGTATCGTTCCTAATTATGTGTTCTAATTTCTAAGAATTGAATAATGCTGGAACATTTTTGTTTTGATGTCTTATCTGTAGACGAGAGTCATCGTTTAAGAAGAAAGAATTTTCCTGTACACGACGGCATTAGCAACCAACAAATTAATGCCCGCTAGACATGTCAACATCATTTTTACACGTGATAGCTGTCGTCCTTCTTTTGGAATATGGTAAGGGCTTATTTATAACCACAAAGTAGTTTGTGCACTAATATTAATGGCGTAAAAAACAAAATTTTACTCCAATAAAATAATGTAAGTAAACTAATAATACTATAAAGATATTAACATAATTTGGAACTTGTTAAAACTTTATTACAGACGTTTTACGTGAATATTACAACAGTTGAATCTCCTAAATTCTAACGCTCTAATTACAACAGTTGAATCTCCTAAATTCTAACGCTCTAATTACAACAGTTGAATCTCCTAAATTCTAACGCTCTAATTACAACAGTTGAATCTCCTAAATTCTAACGCTCTAATTACAACAGTTGAATCTCCTAAATTCTAACGCTCTAATTACAACAGTTGAATCTCCTAAATTCTAACGCTCTAATTACAACAGTTGAATCTCCTAAATTCTAACGCTCTAATTACAACAGTTGAATCTCTAAATTCTAACGCTCTAATTACAACATTTGAATCCTCTAAATTCTAACGCTCTAATTACAACAGTTGAATCTTCTAAATTCTAACGCTCTAATTACAACAGTTGAATCTTCTAAATTCTAACGGATGCATACAAGTTTGTTTTTACACTGTAGTTATTCTTATAGAAAAATACGAAATTTTCGAATAACGTTTGACAGTAACTTTCCCGTGAACGATGCATTTTAAGGTTTACTAAATATATGCATGCTCCCGTTTCTATTGCCATATCACACACACACACACACTTTCTTACAAGCTCTTTTTTTTCCGCTAGGGACAACCTGCAGCTGCGTTACATAGTGTAACTAAATAGTCGACACTGCTGAACATTGCACAAGAAATCAGAAGAAAGTGTTTGGTCCAATAAAAACTGTCCCGCGTTAGCAAAAGTAATGAAAAGAAAAATATTTGAAAGTGAACACGTTAAAAGTTTGGTTTACCTATTTATTCACCTTCTAAAGGAACAGATATGACCATCTTTTCTTTCTCTCTTTTTTTTGCACAGTTTTGCTTTGAATCATTATTAATTATTGCATCACTAATGTGTCCATAACATGATATTTAAAAACATAAACTTGTTGTTTTTATGATTCGCATAAAAATCTTAAATCATCCTAAATGATTTTTTGCAAACGATCATTAATCTGTATTTTCTGTATTAAATTATTTGTTAACTAAAACTTTCTGCGTGTTTTACTAGTATGTACGATCTATCTTCGGCATGCCTGATGAGTCACTTTCATCTGTGGTGCTTTAATCAACCTAACTCATCTATATATATACATATATAAAGTAAATGTATATCTAAGTATCTCAAAACCTTCTGCAGCTAGATTATTAATGATAAACGCATGGGGTTTCTTCAGCACGAAAAGATAATATAAGTGTGGTTGTAATGGGTTGCATTCTTTTAATTAAAATACATTCATTAAAAATGATTAAGTTTATTTTTTCTCTAAAAAATTAGCAAATTCATTTTCACTGTCCTTTTCCCATATCTTCAAGCTGTATTTCGAGTGCAGACTCTTGTTATGCAAGCATATGATGTTCGGAAAAATACAAAAAATACAGGTTATATTTAATAATTATAGCAAAACATCTTCATAGCTGGGTTAAGTTTCATCTATACCTTCCTTCTTTACGGATGTTTTCTTTGGGGAGGGGGAAGATCCTAGTTAGCGTGTTAATAGAACTACACTCCATTATACCTGTTATTGTCTACGTTAGCTGAAACTACCGTGATATACACCAAGTAGTTGAAGTATTCAGGTATTTTAGCGTCTATTAAAGACTTGTTAGTATCATATCGTAACTAAGTTACAAAAGTAGAACTTTAACATGAAGATACGAGCTAATTATCATACACAATATTGAAAGTTACGATTCAGTGGTTTCTCTTCCACCGCTATAGTTAGCAGCAGACGAATAAGTTAGTAAAGGTTGGCTAATCGTTTTCTGGTATCTTTTTAAATAAATATATTGCTTCGCTTAACTAATATATTACCATGACATACAGCGATATACAGAAGTTAAGGATATGGAAAGAAAGTAACACAATAATCTTGTAACTTTAATTAATTTCAGCAAAATTAGATGGAAGTTGCTTCTTAGCTTGTACAGTTACATACAAGACAATATTTTCAAACCTACAGAGTAGAAATTGTAAACATAACAAAAGCAACTTGTCAGCAATAAGACACGTAATTGTTTACAAATTTATTTACGTAAACTATAAATTACTCCCAATGATAATTAAGAAGTAGAACAAAACTCTATTGGAGATACATGTGCTCTTCTTTAGTTACAGATTCTTCTAACTCATTGGTTTTAAATATGGGTAGGGGTGTTCAGAATATTCATCCTGTGCACAAAAATATGTGCTGAAAGCACAAAGTTCGCGTTTTTTTGTATAGTTGTGAAACATTGAGACTTTTGCCCACTTTTTTTTTTTATTTATCTTATTTTCTCTTCATTTTGGATTTCATTTTGCTTCCCTATCTATAACGGAGCCCTTATAAGATTATATTAAACCAATATTTTTTTGTTCTCAGCCTAAATTACAACCTGCAAATAGGACACTTCTCGTAGCAAATGTTTAATGTTTCTAATAAATTTTTCGTTTACATTTGTGTAATGACAGTTGTTTAATTAACCGGGTTAGAAATATGTTGCCATGATTTCTGTTGCTAAATCTGGTAAAGTAATTTATCAATTACTGTCATATCATCCTATTTCTATTGGGAAAAAAATGTGACTCAATGGGTAGCGTGCAACTGTGAACCCGTTCGCGCGCTATTACAGCAAAATACAAGCACGTTATGCTTTTTGTGGCTGTAAGTGCATTATAAGGGTGACTGTAAAATTCCACTATTCAGTCAGAGCAAATTAGCCCAAAAGTTGGCGGTGGGGTGGATTTGTTAATTATCTGCCTTCCTCCGGTCTATTAGCTCAAAATTGTGTGGCTAGTGCAGACAACCCTTGAGTAGCTTGGCGCACATATCGTAAAATAAACAAATTAATAGTTATTTCTTTATCATCTTGTGTTCCTAATTATAAGGAATAAAAAAATAATTATAAATTATCTTTTGTCCTTTGAATTTCATGTCCATATATTTCCACAACAAGTTATATTTCATAATTTAACAGTAAAATTGGCTGTCTAAAGCAACTTAAAGAATCATAAACAAGCTCTCTTTCCTCAAGATAAAGCTGAGACTTTTTTCAAACATTAGAGCTGCCTTTAAAAATGTTTATATCGATAAACCATTTCATAAAATATACGTCCTTTTAACTGCTTCATACAGGTTTCCATGGGCGCTCTTTCTTTATCAAAATTCACGTTCTTATAGAGCATCTCTATTCCAAGGATTTTTCCAGAGATCTAACTTTATCTCTACCTTCAATATTATAATAAGCGATCTTAGAAATTCTGGAAGAGAGGAGACACTTTTAGCATCTTTGCTGATGATATTTCCTCTAGGCATTGCGGTAAGAATCTCAGATTTGTACGTCACATATTTATGTGACTTTTGACCATGTTCAGTCTTGGGGTCAGAAAATTAGGGGTTCTCATTCATTGTATTGAAGTGCGAGGCCACGAATTTTGTTCATCGTTGATTTACTATTATTCCTTCTTTGAATTCCTGTGGCATGGTTGTCTCTTTTGTAGAAAGTTCTATGTATTCTTTGGTTATTGAGATGATTACCATAGACGTCTTAACTTTCTTCAGGTAGTTTTAGTATTCTTCATGGGTAGTAATACGCTTCTGTTACTGTACCGAAACTATCCGTTTTAAACTAGCCTATGATAGTGTCCTCTACGATTTTTCTCATTCATCAGATCTCTATATAATTGATGTCCTTCAAAGTTCTGCTTTGCGAATTTGTTTTTGTGCTATGAAATGTACCCATACTTTTGCATCTGAGGATCCCTTAAACTTATGCAGACTACAGTTTATTGGTAAATATGATTTCAAAGATATGGTATGTTTTCCTGAGGCAATATAAGAGGGAAAGTCACCTCATATAGTTTAGTTAACATGTACAAACATAGTTACATACTTATTTTAAAATTCCCCCATCTCAGCATAATTAATAGCTTCAACTTGTTTAGTTTTTTTATAGCATTCATGTTAACCTTACTTTTGTTTCTCGATTTTACGAGTTCGCTTTAGTAGCAGACTGCCTAACTTACATTGGTAAGTTTCTAGCATTTCTTCGTATTTATGCTGATGGTTCTAATGACCCATCGAATGATAATACAACGTTTGCTTTTCATGTTGAAGCTCATAAATGTTCTTAGTTCTTATAAATGTCCTGTTTACTCTGGTTGCAGAACTTATTTGCAATCTACTCATGCTCCCTCGGTTCTTGGAACTTTTTTTACTCAGATTGCTTTTTTCTCTAGTTCTTTAAGTAGTTTTCTGGATTTAAATAGACAAATTACTTATCCAGATTTTTTTGTGCGAATGTAGTTTGATTCGTTACCATCTTGTTTGTAACAGTTGACATTTAGTTTGCGTTAGGATTTCTTGAAATATCGGAATCCCAGATAATGAACTGGCTGACAGAACTGCCAAAACTACTTTACATTTATCTTCTAGCTCTGTAACGAGTCTTTTAGGTATTGATGTTTGTTTTTAGTGTACTTATCTTGGTGAAATTCTTCAGTTGATCCTTTTTTCCCATAGTCTTTTCCCTCTTTATTTGTCCAGACCCTACGATACTTGAAGAATTGACGACATGATGATGATATCAAGTCACGATTACATCTTCTTGATGTGTTAATTTTACCTTACACAAAATTAGGAGTGCTCAATCCCCTTATATACTTTTGAAAGGCCTTGCTAGAAACATTTGAACTTTTTTAGTTATTCAGATTAAAGTTATCTTTCATTATTTATTCTCAACTACATGAGGCCCATGAAACGTCTTAGAGCTACTTGTTTCTTTGTTTGTAATTAAGCACAAAGCTACACAATGGGCTATCTGTGCTCTGCCCACCACGTGTATCGAAA